CTATCTATCTATCTATCTATCTATCTATCTATCTATCTATCTATCTATCTATCTATCTATCTATCATATACATAAAATACACACCTATATATATATACCCCTCTTCTAGACTTCATTTTTAGGGAAGCTGTGAAAGTGATCGAGTGTGATCATGCAAGAGTAAAGGGAGTATGGACAACAGCCCACATCAATTATTTAGGCTCAATCCAGAAGATACAGAGAGCGTTTCTATCTTATTTTTGTAACCTCGGGCCCTCGGGGGTGGGCAGATGTCCACGCCGTTACAAATGAGGCCCATCTCAATATCTTGGCTTCTTGCAGCATTGCCCAACAGCTGAAAGTTAATTAATCATGCCGAGACCAAACAAAGCTGCACTTCTTCCTTTCATCCGTCTCACTCGTCTTGGCTGTACAGCGGCGCTCACGATTGACCGTCTGAACAAACCCGTTTAATGAGTGATGGCAAAACGCTAAACCACTCGAAACGTCCAAATTACCGCCGCCTGGCGCCGCGACAGATCCGACAGCTGCTCGTGTTTCCACACAAATCAGACAGTTGCCGCTTAATTGCTGTCAAACACTCTCCAATTCGGCGCCAGTTTCGTGAGAAAAGCACATCTGCCCCGTCGGGGCTACTCACAGTCCACGCTGTCGAAGCTCAGGAGCAGCACAGCTGGAACGCCCGGACCTGCAACGACACCAAATCAGACGCTTTCATGTGCGTGAAAGCCACAAACATCTGGAGCGTGTGGGAGTTTCATTAAAAGGTTCTGTCAGACATTCTGTCAGTCTTTGCTTAATTGTCAGCATGCTGATTCTGATTGGCTCGGGAAAGAAGGGGGTTACTTGTTTTTCTGTTTTTATCGCAGAGAAAACTAAACCTAAATTCATTCACCTAGGCCAAATCCCTAAATCATCTAGTTGGATCCGTTTTCCATGGCAGGAGATTCATTGACACGGCCAGTTTGGAGCATTTGTTTTCAGTTTATTTATTTAGTTTTTTGTGTCGTTCTCAGGGTGGCGAGTGATCTATTTGTTCTCAACTCTTCCCCCAATCTCCCACAGGGTTTTCCCCTTTATCTTTTCATAGAACTTTAAGCACTTTCAATTGTGTTTTTGCTTTGTCGCTAATTTCAGGTCGAGGGAGCAAAATCTTGAAATTAATCTTTTCACCCAGCAGGGTCTTGGCCATCGATAAAACCACTTTCCCACCTTGATGAAAGGCCCCGTGTTTCCCACATCTGCATCAGAACTGTATCCTCGATCTACGCGCAAAGCTATCTTGTTAAAACTGAGAAATGCGTGACAAGTCTTCTTAATAAATGCAGTACTGAGAAGACTGCATTCTAACACTGTCTTGTCTCTCCCGTAGACGTAAACCTGACAGTGGAAAGTGATTTCTCAACCCTGAGGCCTGTGACACGAGGGGGCCTAGTGGTTGACTTATTCCTCAGTTTGGTTTAAAAGAGCATTTTTAACTAAATTTAAATCTTTTCTGGCCAGACGTATTTAAATGACCCGACTTCTCTGAAATTCAGCTTGATTTTTTTTCTGTTGTGCCAAATTCCGGCTTTGACGTGGCCTTTTCAATAGATGATGTGATTGAACGGGGTTAGCAGTAATCAGGCCTGATTGGATTCATCCCCAACCATTTGACGGGGTGTTATTGTTTCCAATCATAAGAACTCCAATTTTTTATCTTTTCAAGTGCGTAGCGGGAAGGTTACGCAGTGCAGGTTTCGCAAAAGCGCCCCTCGGGATTAAATAGGAACAGGATGGAAAATGCGGATGACATTTAACGGCAAGTTAAAGGCCGTTTTCGCTCAGGGCTTTAACATGACCTGATCCCAGGGGTTGAGTACTTCCTGTGGTTGCTAATCGCACAGGCACAGTCAAATAGCAGAAAAAGGCACTTTCTGTTTTCCTAATAACATCTAAATTGACAGTTCATACCTCTAAGGTGATGACGTGACTCTTGCATAAGTCATTTCCGAGAGACGGATTGTAATTCAGCCCGCAAAACATTTTGTCGGACTTAACAAAACAATCCGATCCCCTCCCTGGCCCTGCACCTCCACTTTAAAGGTCAGTGGGTTAGGGCTGAGCCTTTGGGAGGGGATGGCATATGGATGGGTTGATGATCGATTACCCCGAAGAGAGAGAGAGATAGAAAAGGTTGGTGGTGGTGGTGGTGGGGGGGTCCTTTTATCCTGGCGAACCAAGAGACAAAGCTCATGTGCGCGTGTTGGCAGGCGGACCTTGGCAGCGCAGGATGGCGTGCTGCACATCAGGGCTGATGTCCGCGTCGAAGAAAGTGCAGTCCTCCTTCAGGCCGCAGGTCAGGCATCGCCGCGGAAACAAGCCAAGGGTGGACACTCTGGAAGCAAAAGCGAGGAATTAAAAACGCGTAAGCCGGGCACAGATGCGAAGCGGCGGGGACACGGGCTGAGAGGCTGATGAGGGCTTTACCTGTACAGGTGCCTCTGCTGAGCCGCATCCTCGGTGCTCAGAAAGTATCTGGAGAAGGGGAAGCACAGTCAAAGAATGTCCGCTTGCACTCCTCAGTGCATTTACAACCACAAATGGAGATCCGCGCATCATATTTTTTGTTCCCCCCGATATTTTTTTCACAATATTTGATTTGTGTCTTTTTGGACGACTGTTAACAAGCCTTCATATCATCCCTTATCTTCTAAAAAGCATCTTGGCCTACATGGATTTATTTATTTTTTGTTGTCTGCATTTACGATGAATAATATATTCAAACGGACACTTACATGATCTGGTCGTTCTCGTCGTAAGCTACAATTTTGGTCACCTCCCAGTCTCCTGACGTTAAGTGGCGGACTTCGTCCTGGTCACTTCGTAGCTGGAAGAGAAAGGCGTGAATTAGAAAGCTGATCCGGCTGTTATCTCTCTGTCCCTCCTGATAATCGACTTATTACAGCAGAGGGAACCTCACTGGTGGTCTTTAATCGGTGGGAACCAGGAAAAGCTGCAAAATTAGCGCATTTAAGATAGTTTTAAAAGGAGAACCATGCCCCATAAAACAATAAACACATGCTTAATCCAGATGGATACCAGGAAACTAACTGGAGTAATTAAAACAAGTTCAAATATTTCATTTGATGAAATGTCAAGGAGAATAGTCTTTTATGTAAAAATTATTCAAATATATTACAAAAAAAAGCATTGCTAACTTGTTTTTGTGCAACACACAAAGTCCAGTGAGCTCTTTCAACATGTTTCATTATATAAACTGGCTGTCTGCCAGGGTTTTGAGCCCAGAATCCAGGAAAAATAATAGAGGGGGGCTTGTGAATAGTATATTCTAAAGATTCCACTCAGTGCCCGGCCTTTTGGATCAACTGAAAGACTTTCCAAAAAAAAAGAGAGGCGCGTTAGAAAAAAAGCAACCGGCAGGTAATGGGATAAATCTTTTATGCGTCTTCTCCCACAGGCCAGCCTCAAACAATCAGATCAACGGAGTGAAGAATATCAGTGAAGGCAAACACCTGCCAGAGCCAGACAGGAGAGGAGCGGGAGTGTTTGCCCGCTGGAAAAAGGGCTTCAACATCATTCTGGTGGAAAAGATGCTGAGAGCGTCCCGACTAAACAACTCGGCAGACGCTCCTTGTTAATTCTTTACAAGTTGCTGAAAACAGAGCCAGTCAGCATGTAGCTCCTGGAGGGATGTTTACCTCAGTCATCTGATAGAAAGAAAACCCTCACACAACTGGTTAGATTATGCTCTGGAGGATGAGCTCCAGTTCAACGTCTCTTTGCTGAGTGTGTGCGTTGTATGAATGAGGGCCAACGATCTTTGTTCTGGCAAACAAATACAGTCTATTCATTTACAGCCAAGTCAACCTTATGTCGGATTTTGAAAAGGGACCCTTGTGTTTCATAGGCAAAGCTCTAATGGTAGAAATGGACAGTGGAGGAGATGAAGAGAAACAAACTCCATTGCAAACAAGTATCAGAAAGTAACAAAAAAAAAGTTAAATCTCATCTATAAGTTTGTAACATTTGGGGTTATATTTGCTTCCACTAGGAACTTAAAATCGGAATGAGAACCCAAATCCTGGTGAAGAAGAGGAGACGTCGAGGAAGCAGAAGAGGAACAACGTAGAAAAAAGAGGACGTCATCCCCAAAGCTTCATGGGAAAGGTAAGATCATTGCTAAAAAACACAATGTCCCACTTCCTTTCTGAGAGTCCCTGCACGCCGGTTTGAACCTTCTATTGTCTTTTTTATCTTAAAAAAAAAAGCACTATTTTTTTTCAACATGGTTTCCTTAACAAATTCACTAAATTCTGGATATGAACAGAATTGGCCGTCTTCTTCACTTTGTTTATGCAAAAGAGGTTCTCTCAGGACAGATGTTCGGGCAAGGGAGAACGAACGCAAATAGACATTTAATCGAAACATAACTGAGGCTAGAAACCAAAAGCAGCTGAGAAATCTGAGATGGATCTAGTGGACAAGATTTCATTCAAACTAAGTTGGGAGCGGCAGGCAAAAGCAGCGGCTTTCCAGAGGATTAAAATCCCTGCCTTGCCGGTCCCAGTGATAAAATCACTCCTCCTCCCTTGGAGAAATGAATCCTGCTTGGAGACCTAATGGATGGCTACGTTCGGGGACACAAAGCAGGCACTCAGACAGGCGGAGAGCAGAGGAGAAAGTTTGCAGGCACCTTCTTGGTGAACATGGCGATGTGGTCGAAATCCCCCTGACCTCCCTGCTTGACGGGCAGCGTGAGGAAGAACCTGCTCCTGTCCTCGGAGAAAAGCGGCTCCTGTCTCTGTGGGGAGAAAGGTGTGACTCAGAAGGGACAACACAAAGCCTCGGGCCCCTATTCTGTCCTCCGCTCTGATAATTAAAACATACATCAACTCTTTATCTCTCTTCACTTAATTCACTTAATATATATATATTAAATCTAAACCTGGTTGTCACAGTCTTATTGTGCACACTGTTTCTATCACCGGACATCAGACTGGAGCTTCGTGTGTTAAGGTTTACCTGCCTGGAGAGCCACGTCTCTGAGGACTCCTCGTGTCTCTGCATGAGAAAGCATGAAAATAACAGCTTTTAGCCTTGTCGCATGTCTTTCACGTGTTACTCAGATACAAGAAAAGCGTGAAAAAAAGCAGGTTTCATTGTACTAGAACTAAAGCAGTAGTCACTCTAAGGCAATTGTATGCTTTTTCTGGGAATTTATTGACCTTATTGTAACTGTAACTCCGTAGAAGTAGGTGAGATTTATTTATTTATTTATTTTTATTCCGCAGAATGCGTCTGGTGATGGGGGGGGGTAGAAATCTGACGTATGGCTGTAAGCTTACTAAATAATTATATTCTGCAATTCTAACCGGCTTAAACGGCAATTTTTGGTGAGACGCACTTTATTTGTCAATGTATTCCTCTCCAGGAAAATATCTTCAGGCTTCTTGAAGGACATCCCAATGCTCTGGGGTGGATTGCCACTGATGGTTTTTACATGGGTTTCCTGTGTGATTTTGCATAGCTTGGCCTTTTCTCCCCATTCCCCCTCCTTAAGTCCTGAGAGCCACTCATTTGTTTTCCTCACATTTCTTATGTACAGCTGAAGTGGATATTTTTTCGGCTTGCCGTTTTTTCCCTCGTCCTCCGCCTGTTCTGTTTCTCGGTTTTTGAAGGACACGCCGTGCTTTCATAAGTGGCTCGAGCTGAATGAGCCCGTTTGTTCCAAAATACGTCTTTGTCTTTCACACCGTGTCATGTTTGTTTTTGTTTTTTTTTATAGATGAGGGAAAAAAACAAAGGGAATAAATCACGGCTCTTTCCAGAAGGCTGTTGAGAAGGTGCGTTTTATTGAGCTGGCATGATTGATAGGTCAGTGCTAAGTGGCTCTACCAACAACTCAAAGGACATTTCTCTCAAAAAGGTCAAGTACAAAGCATAAATTCAAAACGAGTGGGAAAAGTAGCCAATGCTAAAAGCAAAAAAAAACTTTCGAGACTTCCAGAAAGCCTACAGACTTTTATAACCACTTTAAACGACTACAAAAAGTCTGGTTAATCGGAAGAAAAATCTAAAGAAAAGGAGGGGGGAATCAAGACTTTCGCTTTAAGCTGGAACTGATGTGAAAAACCAGAAGCATTGAAAACAAACTGCCCCAGGACGGGTGCGTGAAGAGGCCATGCAGCACCCACCTTGAGGCAGACTCCTATGGTGGTGTCGCACACCGTCAGCAGGGAGGCGTTCTGGGGCCTGTTGAGCCATCTGACCGCCAGGTGTGTGTTACTGATCCACTTCACCATGGTTACGTAGAAATCCCTAGGGATGACCAATCGGAGTCGCATTGAGAGGCGTACGGACACGTCGGTGTGCATGTGTATGTGTGTGTGTGCGAGCTCACCTGTGTCTGAGCTGATCTGGAGGCTGCAGCTCCTGAGTGTGAGTCGCACCAAAAAGGTTGACGACGGACAGCTTGACCGCCGGGTTTCTCTGGCCAGCCTGAGGGGTCGGACACAAAGGATACGTTTCAAAGGATGTATTTCACTGAATCGCTAGAAAAAATGTAGCGGCCACTGCGTGCAGAAATACTGTCCAAACACAAAGACAAATGGGATAAGGAAAGAAAAAAGAAGCTAACCTTTTAATAAAAAATCATATTTTGTAATTTAGAAGATTTTCGTTTATCCCCAACAAAAATGTATAGTAATGAATTTTCTAAAGATAAACAAGCCACATAAGACCCCTACTGACTGGAAACAGTCTTGTTGAATCACAATGTTGCATCCAATGATGTTCAGACCTGCTCATTATACGGAGAACATTAATGAAATAACAATATGTTGAGAGGTTCTAAATATGTGGAAAAATACACATCAAATCTACCCCTTTTATTATAAATGCACATGGTTTCTACACGTTTTTAACTTGGAATTGAACATTGTTCTCCCCATTCAGGCCAAAGATTTGTTATCTGTTCACTATTAGTATTGTTAGCTTAATCTCAATACCAATTTGTTGGCTTATTGCCAATGCCCACGTGACGCCATTCCATGTTTTTAACTTGAACATACACAATTACAGGTTGTTCTCCTCATTCAGGCCAAAAGTTTATCACCCTGTGGGCTTATCTGTTCTCCCAGCCTCCTGGTACACAGCTTCAGGTGATGAAATCCTACGCGGACCTTAAAATTTGTATGTGATTGATGCAACTTTACAAAGTTAAACTCCTAAGTACACTTTTTGGCCAAGTCCACATAAAGAAAATAAAAGCGCATTGGTAAAAGATATTTTATTCGTCTGAATCGTGGAAGTTGGGGCGATGTATGATGGTGTTACGACTGGGGTCGTTTAATCCAATCATGTACCTGAGTGTGCAGGTGTTTTTTCTTATTTGATTGGTGTTTGGAGGACGACGGGGGGACGTCCGATTGGTCCCATCCCGGACGAGCCCCCAATTTATGTTACGACCCGTCTAGGCATGGCCAGATCGCAACATAAAGGATCCATCCTCTTCCAATCCCCAAGCAACCAACACACAAAGTGGGACAGTTTATAGGATATTTTCTATCTCATTTGTCACAGCCTGCCCGCAAAGATGTCACGGATCTGATTGAAGTTAATTTATTACTTTTTTCAGATCATCCACACCAAACATCTGTGCTGTATCATGATATTGATGTGGAGGTTAAGAAGCCAATTAAACGGCATGCTTACAGAATAAATCCAACAAGGCGTGTTCTGGTGCAACAGGAAGTGGCTTACCTAGTGGAACATGGTTTAGCCGTGCCCAGTTACAGCGCTTGGAGTTCGCCCTGTATTCTAGTTCCGAAACCAGATAAAACCCTTCGGTTTTGTACTGATTACAGAAAGGTTAATGCTGTCACGAAGCCCGATTCTTTTCCACTTCCTAGAATGGAAGACTGCATTGATCGTGTTGGCTCTGCTAAATTTGTCACAAAGTTGGACCTGTTAAAAGGTTATTGGCAAGTCCCGTTAACATCTAGAGCTTCTGAAATTTCTGCTTTTGTAACTCCTGATCATTTCCTCCAATATACCGTTATGCCTTTCGGGTTGCGTAACGCGCCCGCTACGTTCCAACGCTTAATGCGAAAGGTATTATTTGGTGTGAAAAATTGTGAAGCATATTTGGATGATGTAGTTATTTATTCTGCCACTTGGTCAGAGCATTTGGAAATTCTTTCAGAAGTGTTCACTCGTTTTCGTGATGCTTCTCTCACTTTGAATCTTTCGAAATGCGAGTTTGGTAAAGCCACAATTACTTATCTAGGAAAGCAGGTTGGGCAAGGACAAGTATCTCCTATTGCTGCTAAAGTGCAAGCAATAATTGATTTTCCTATCCCACAGACAAAAAAAGATTTGCGTCGGTTTTTGGGAATGTGTGGTTTTTATCGCGGGTTTTGTAAAAACTTTTCAGATGTGGTTAGCCCATTGACGGAACTTGTTAGTCCTTTGAAACCTTTTATTTGGTCTTCGCCTTGTCAGGTTGCGTTCGAGTCTGCTAAAGCATTATTGTGCAGTGGGCCAGTGCTGGCTGCGCCAAATTTTGAGCGTCCATTTAAACTCGAAGTTGATGCAAGTTTGCGCGGTGCGGGAGCTGTGCTTCTGCAGGAAGATGAGCAAGGTATAGAGCATCCTGTCTGTTACTTTTCGAAAAAGTTTTACAAACACCAGTTTCATTACAGTATAATCGAAAAGGAGGCTCTTGCTTTGTTACTTGCGTTACAGTACTTCGAAGTTTATATTGGTTCTAGTGCACAACCTGTACATGTCTTTACCGATCATAACCCGCTGGTTTTTGTCTCCCAAATGCGAAATTCCAATCACCGACTGATGCGCTGGTCTCTGCTGCTGCAAGATTTTAACTTGCAAATTAACTATAAAAAGGGTAAGGATAATGTATTAGCTGATGCTTTGTCTAGAAGTTGTTAATGCATGTGAATTGAAACACTTAGGGGTGTGTTCAATTTTTTTGTGAATGGGGGTGTTACGACTGGGGTCGTTTAATCCAATCATGTACCTGAGTGTGCAGGTGTTTTTTCTTATTTGATTGGTGTTTGGAGGACGACGGGGGGACGTCCGATTGGTCCCTTCCCGGAGAGGACGGATAAAGGCTGGTGACGCGGACTTCCTATGGTTCCATCCTCGGACCATCCCTATCGACCACACTGTGTGTAATGTTTCGGAGTTTGTAGGAGTGAGCTGCCGTTTCTGTTTTCTTAGTTTTCTCCTGTTTTGTTAGTTAGGGAGGTAAGTTTTTGTCATTTGGTTTTTTTGTTTCTGGTTAGGTAAGTTGGGTTATATTCAGATAGTTTTTGTTTGTTTGTTGTTTTCGGCGATAGCTCACTCTGAGGTTATACGCTCAACTCCTTGTAAATTGAACATCCCTCTCTATAAAATAAATATCCTATAAACTGTCCCACTTTGTGTGTTGGTTGCTTGGGGATTGGAAGAGGATGGATCCTTTATGTTGCGATCTGGCCATGCCTAGACGGGTCGTAACAGATGGTGATAGTAAGGGGCGTTGCAGGCTTACCATGGGATAGGGGTACTGCACTCCCCGGGGGTAGGTGCTCCCCGTGAACTGGGGCAGAGCCATGTTGGGCACCAGCGAGTCGTTGATGGTGAGGAAGGCCAGCCGCTCTCCATCAGGCGACCACCAGTGAGCAAGGTGTGAGTGCAGGATCTCTTCTAATGAGACAAAACACCCTTCAGCCATCTTGTTTCTGAACACTTCATTTATTTCCATCTATCTACGACTACACACTGTTTTTCTAAACGGTGCATTCTTGACCAATGATTCTGTCCTTGGAGCTAAACTTGTTGGATTTTTCTCTTTTAAAAAGACTTTTTCTAAACCTGCCACCACAGGTCACCAAATATCTCGTCAAACTTACTGTAGCATAACCAGACAAATGGTTACGGTGTCAGGAAATCCAATCTAAAATCTAAACGGATAAATATTCTGAATTCAGTGATAAGACGGTGCATTGCCCTCCTCTCTGTGTTTAATCTGCTTTTTGTGCAAACTGTTTGTTTACACAGCGACTCAACGGATTGTGAAGGCTTGTTCATTTTTCACCGCCAGACTGGTTCGTTTGTCTAGTCTATTCCGTAGCCTTCATAACAACCACAGACGATAAAAAGACAACAAAACCTGGGAATTCACATCTTCAATCTGCCTCACCCTACGTTTCTTTGATAATCTTCAGGAATGTGAACGAATACTCAAGACTGCAGTGTAAATTATTAATTCCATCAAACCTTATAGCAGGTAACGCCTGATTTGTCAGGCCCCTGAAGACATACCTTCATACAACCAATCAGCAAGCCCGTTGAAGATGACTCCTTCCATCCCAGACGAGGTGATTCTCAGAGAGTTGCTCCTCACATCTGACTGGTAGTAGATGTTGTTCTCAAAGATGTAGATCTGGGAAGAAAGTAGGGGATACAAGCAGATGGATACAAATTCACTTGTGTTTATCAATCTGATTTGTTTTTCTTTGCGGTTCCCTTTCTGAGGCTCTGATTTTCTCGCCATTCGGTGTTTGCACTCCGGCTTCCATCTGTGTTTTCAATATTTGCATTTGCGAAGGCAAACACTTCCTGTTTTTCCAGCAATAGTCTGAGTCCTGCAGATTTCCTATCTGTCCTGTAGCTTATGCAGTAGGCCGGTAGGTTTGGTGGGGCCACTGGTATTCAGATTTGACTATTTCAGGTTGTGTGTTGGTACTAAGTGTTAACTTGTGTTAGGAGACTAACAGATTAATATTTTTACACCATTTTTGTTAATTGACAAGGATCCAAATGATCCAAAAAATGTTTCCTGATTATTTCCCCAAAGGTTGCTGTTGCGTCCTTTCAAATAAGCCAACGTCTGAGACCATTTCTTTCTTTATTTGTAAGTGAGCATGTGAGTTTTCAACATGCCATTTTGGCTTTTGGCAGAGACCTCCCCTAAAAATCCCTCGGCCCCCACGAATCAGATATGGGTCACAGATGGCAAACAGGTCTAATGTGGGCCACTTTTGCCTCTATAATCCCATCCAAACTGCTTCAATATGTGATTTCTTACTGCTCGTAAAACTCCCATTCTCCCGCTGTATGTCATTCGTTCCATTAGATTTGACTATTAAAACGCTGATGTCCAGTTTCAGGCTAAATTTACTGCCTTTTGTGCAAGTCAAAATGACCTTTTTGTTGTTTTTAATAGATGGGGTAATGCTGAATATTCAGAAATGCAGATATTTATGGCCGGGCCATGAAAAACGTCATGATTGCATTGCGCAGTGCTGAATTATTTACCCTACAAGCTATCAGAGGAAGCAAAGTATATTGTGTTTTTCTGGAAATTATGAACAGAAGGAACTGTTATCGCCTAAACTTTCTTGAGGCACCGGCCTTGCAATATAAAGGGGAAATGAAGAGACGGCACACGTAAGAGCAGGTAGACGGCGCAAACCGGGAATGTAAACAGAGGGTTTATTGTACTGAGAAGAAACGCGCCGCCGGAGCAGATCCCTGCTGAGCGGCCAGGAAGTGTGGATTTTTGAGAAGAAGCGAGGTGAGGGAAAAAGAAGGGATCAGCCCTACCAGCTGCTGTCCTTGTCTTCCCCAGGCTGCGTGCTGGAGCACGGCGTTCTGCACCTCGGGGGGGTTGAGCTCCCACACTTCCCTGACAAGTACACAAGCACATCAGCCACCGTCTGTTTTTTCCCCAACGGCGTCAGCGTTCCGCGGGAGGAAGTGGCCGGGCTTACCTGGTGTAGATGTTGTAGACTATGTAGGAGGCTGTGTATGAATACCTGTAAACCTGCAATGAGAGTTCAGCCCGTCACTGCTAGATTCAACATACAGTTCGGCCAAAATCTAAAATCAGCTATGCAAAGAACAATTTAACATTGAAAATCAGTGTTTTTTGGGGTTTTTGTGCGATCCTGACTCGGAAGTGATGACATTTTTTCCCACCACACAACATCACAGCTCTTCGCGTTCCGCTGTATTTCCTGGCATTTAGATATAGTGGAGCGCAACTTTTTTAGTGGCCCAGAGCGAGTAAATCTTATCATTGCAGGAGGAAACGCCGTGTTAGAGGTTAAACATTACGGGAGAAGCCGGAAGGCTAAAACTGACCTCCAGCATCTGTTTGTGTCGGAAGTGACAAAGCAATCAAATGAAGTGCCATACAATTTGGCTTAAAGCTTCGGTTTTACGGCCCCCTGAAATATGTTTTTTCCCACCAAGTTAATTACGTCTCTGTAAATCTCTCTATAAATCTTTCCCTTAAGCCATCCAGCAAACCCCTGTTCCAAAATAACGTTCGCATTCACGGTTATTTCCTTTGACTGGCAGGAGGGGACTCTCTGGTTCTCCTCCTGCCAATTTGAGTTTTTATTTTTCGAAGTATCTCTTTACTGCTCTGGACAGTTAACTCTTATTTTAGCTTGACAAGACTGTGTTACTGGACCACTGTTCTTGTAATGGAGAATTAATTCAAAACAATAGGTTCCATGCCAACAGTAAGCGCTGTTCGGACTCCATTTTAGGGGAAATCAAAACACCTGGCAAGCAATTCAGGAGCATAGAAATATGGACAATGAGTGAAAAGGAGTTTTTGTTAATCTAGCAGTGAGATTGTTTTTACCAGCTTCCTGTTTTACTCCATGGGGGTCATTGTAATATTTTCCTGAGTGTGCACAAAGTGACTGTGGGAAGAAAAAACTTCACGCAGAAAAAAAGAAGAAAAAAATTAAATTTTTTAAAAATGAGAGAAAAAATCGTCCCTTTTTGACAGGAAGAAACCTCTGGCTGAATCACCTGCGTGTGTGGTAGAGCACTGATTGTGTGAAGGTCAGCTCAGAGTAACTAAATTATTGGGATGTTTCATTGCTGTAGTAGTTATTTAAAAATAATCAGTTATTGTTACATCTGTGCTGTTTTTAGACCATGAGTTTGCGGAAAAAATGTAACTCAATGGGAAACCTCAATTTTTGCAAGAAAGAAAAAAAAATCTATGTGCGAGATGACTACAGTTTAAATACAAGCATGTGAAACGGATTCAAAATATGTAAATCCGCTCTGTTAGCAGTCATGCAAACCAAACAGTCATGTTTCCCCATCAACGGTGCACGCTCGGTACCTCTGACTCCAAATGATCTAAAGCATCAAAGCTAATCTTTTCAATTCAGTTCCAATTTTCTTGCCTTTTACAGACGGTCAGAGAACAGGAGCATGAATATGAATGCACGGCAAACCCGAAGGTAAGGGCTCATCCCTGGTGGCTGTTAGTGCGCTTGTGTATGCAGGGGAGCGACGGGGCTCGTGCGTGTTACAGAAAATGAGACGCCCCTATGCCAGGAAATGTAACAAATATCCTTAAAATGAAAAAAGAATTAATTTTAAATAAAGGCAGCCAGCATTCAGTTTGATCAAAGCTCGCGGGATTATGAGAACAATGTCAATATCTGCAGTTTTTTTTTTTTTTTTTTTTTTTTATTCCATGGCTCGATGGCGGTGTGCTTTTGATCCACGGAGCCGGGCTTTGGTTTCAGACTCACCGGTTTGACGTCATATGCGAAGAGCGCATACTTGAGATCGGCAGACAGCGAGTACTTGGCAACCTTGAAAGCCACCTGACAAAGAAAAAAAAAAGAAAAATCCACATCTTAATAAAAGTCGTGTTTCTTTTTAGAATCTTAAGATATGTTTTCATTGTACAAACAGGGATTTAACAAACTACGCGTCAGTTCCATTTAATCGGAAGGTGTCTGATAAACATTTAAAAGTTAAAAGTGGTCCAACAAAGTTAGTCACCATCTGAAGTCTTCTGCCAACCAAAACAACAAAAAGCCCATCCGAGGTTGGAAACCCAGTCATGGCTTTATTCTCTCCAGCTCCTCCTGAGGGGCTTCCCGAGGCGTTCCCAGGACAGAAGGGGATATAGAGTCCCTCCAACCAGTTCTGGGAATACCGCAGAGGCATCATGCCCAAACAACCCCAGGCTTATTTATTTTAATGTTGACGAGGAGCTGCTACCCATGGGTGAGGGTTTGAACCAAGTCGAAAGCTTAAGAAGAAATCCACCCAAAAAAAAGCCTAGAACCTAGAAAATGTATGAATAAAATAAATCAGTGACAGTGAAGAAAGAATAAACCTTAAAGGGAAACTGATTTCTTATCGGATAAAATGACCCATTTCATGTGGAATCTGGAGCTTTCGTATTGCATCCATGACCCTGGCAAAAACACAAATGCAGCAGGCAAAAAGTTAATCCCCCCCCAAAATCTGGGGGGGGAACCACACGGGGCTGTGACATTTCGGCTGAATTCGAGGAGCCCAGGCAACGCCGAAAACCTCTGAACAATCGGTCCACGACAAATATTTCCCGAAAGCGGTGAAAGACGCCACGCGGCCACCTCCACTTCTTCTGTTTTATTTCCCCTCGCACAGCTTACCTCAAATCCTCACCAAATCCCCTTATGAAAAGGTTTACGGCTGTTCTGCCCAATTCAACGGAACCCGTTTACTCCGAAAAAGGAGAAAGTGCTTCACAGTGTGGGTGAGAAGATGAAAATAAAGAGCTGATGATTTTGTCTCGGTACACGAGGATTAGGGAGCAGCAACAGGATTATAATGATGCAATTAGAAAAGAGCTCAAATATAACCTCCTTTTGAATTACACACGTCCCTGGTTTGATTTCGCTGAAGAGTAGATGCTTACACTTCCGGAGGCGGTAGACCCACAGCCATTGTTTTCCCGCTCCCATCTTTCCTCTAAGAGCCGAGGTCAGCGAATACCTCGAAGCCCGGCCGGGTAACTCCCCCCTTTCAATATCGGGCGTAATTTCATTCTGATTCCGAGCCTCCTGGGATCCAATCAGAGCAGCGCGAGGCATAAAGCCGCTTTGGCTTTTTCAGTTTTTTTTTAAAGAGCAGTTCTGACGGACGCACGGCACCAAAGTTAGAGAGTGTTTTTAAACTTTTACGCATCAGAATCCAGGTCAGGCTGCACTCTCCTCCTACAGTTTGGTTTCTTTCTTTATGTGAATTTTGCCACCTGACAGTTGATTTCTTTGTCTTTTTTTCTACTCTGGTCTGCAACCTTGTTTTGTTCGTAAAGAGGTGGTAGTTTAGTTTGTTCCCTGCCATTTTGTTCCCCTTGTGTAAGAACAACCCATCTGAATAATATCCCAGGAGGAACTCTACTACAAACTCTACATACATTTTTTTTCACTTACAATGATCTTTCTTTTTGTTTTAATTTAGTTTACACAGCTCTGCGGTCGCATTCTAACAGTCGTTCAAAATGAGACGTTTAAGGTGTAAAGACGTTGGAAAAGCAGTGAGGTCTCACAAACGTGCTGTTGCTCAGGATGACTTCGGTCTCGTTCAGGACAAAGTTGAACTTGATGACGTGGCCGTCTCTGTTCCGGTACACCACCTCCGAATCTGACAAAGAGGGAAAAAAGCATAAATAAAAGAATAAATAACAGTGTCGAGAAAAGTTAGGCTTTCCTCAGTAGAGACAAATGTTTAGATAATGTGATGCGATACATAGATTGAGACTATATCTGATGAGGATTCAGGGCTGTCAGGCCTTTGCTGGGTTTTTATTTATTTGCTGAAGGACGGCCCGTTCAGACACCGCTGTAGCAGAGCGTTTAGGCTCCGTCACTCCTACTTTTGTCCTCCGCTTCTCGCTTTTCTTTCAATTTGTGTCAGGTTTTCATCTAATAGCTCTTTCATAAATCGCCTTGTTGGTGAAAAATTCCAGTTTATGTCTGTCAAGCTGCAATCCCGGGCAGTTTTTCTTTTTCTTTCTTTTTCTTTTTTTCAAGTGCAACAAAAGAAATGCGAATCAAAGATGTGTCCTTGTGACGGGCTGTTGGTAACAAAACAAAACACATTCCGCCCAAAATGCTCAGGTACAAAGACTGGTGGGAAAAAGAGTGAAATGGAAAACAAAAATTCATCAAACCGTCATAAAGTTGTAGAGAGCTATTGTTGTTGCAAAAAATGTCTTGTGATAAAATCAAGCCTATGATGACAGACAGGTCAGTGATTCTCATATATCATATGAGTATTTTTAAGTGTATCCTATATATGAATATCTTTAACAACCATTAAGTGATTACTAAGTTTTGTGACCAAAAAATAAATACATTTTTAACTCTGAATTGTTAGCTGGACAGGGGCGATGTGACCCCTAAACACTATTTAGAATATTATTTTTTTTGCAATGGTTACAGAATTTGCTCCAAATCTTGTCACAGATGGGGCTGGGAAAGAGAAAAGGGGTGGGGGTGGGGGGGGTCTCCCCTCTCTGATTTCCATCACACTTAAGACTCAGTCTGTCGTTTCATTAGCCATTCATCTGAACCGGCCTGTCTGTCCACCGGGAGTCCACTGCAAATCACAAATAGCTGCTCTAACTGGCATGAAACCACACACACACACACACACACACATACACACACGTCTGTGTATATATGTATATATGCAATGTGAAAATCTGTGACGGCCTAGATCTGTCTTATCAAACGTGGCTGCAGAGAGCTGCATCGTGGCAGAAACGTGTGGAAAACAACAGAAAAGACTCATAGAATCACAAACATATTCACTGGAATTCATTTTGGCTGTAATTGGCTTGGGCTTTGATTCGTTACACTTTCCATTAATGCCGGCTCCAAACTGAGCTCCGGACTGAGTGAAAGTACCTGCCGTGAACATGTGAGGGGGGGGGGGGGTGACTCCTGTGTTAGAAAGCTTAAGGCAGGTTTTCCTGTAACTCGTCTCTCCGCTAGAGAGACGCCTCCTGCATACCAAAATCACGTTTATCTCCAGATTCCCCAGTTCCGCGTTTGAGCCGGGCCTCGTCGAAAACGAAACCGTCAACAGCTGTGTCGAACCCCACTCCCACCCCTCGTTTTTTCTTTTTTTTTTCTCTCCTCCTCGTGAACTAGTGGAGCTCATTTGGAGTGAATTTGTGTCTGATTGCAGGGGAGGCAATCGCTCATTCTGCTGTGTGATGAGTTCAGGCTGAGTGTGCATTAACACCCGGGTGTAAAGACGCGAAAATGGGTTTTGCATTGTTTGGAGAGATATTGAGACTGTTGATGGGGTTAGTGCGGAGGAGGCATTAAATGGACAAACATGAACAACAGGCATTATTTTATATCATTTTTATGGGTTAGACGCCAGAACAAGATGCTTCACGGTTCTCTCTCTTTTTCTTTTTCTTTTTTTTTAAAGCAATGTTCAATACTGGAAGATTAAAAAAGCGTCTGTCTGAGCTAGAAAACATGTGAGTAATATCTCATTTCCAACTTTTAGAGACTGCACACGTGGATCAAATGTCAATAAAAAACGCATTTCGACATTTTGGGATGTGCCTCAGTCGGTTTTAGACCTTTTTCCACAAAATTCAGAGGATTAATCTGCCAATTCTATGCAATTATGTGAAGCTAAGCAAACATCATCAATCATCTTCAGTCAATTTCTGAAAAACTAAGGCTAAAACTCAAAGCGTGTGATACTTTCAACGGTCATTTAGATAAGGGGGATTGTTACAAATGTGCCAGCCTGCTGCAGTCACTCTTCAGATATGCTGTCTTTTGCTATCCTACATCTTTTAGGATGCATTACAATGCCCATAGCATTGTTGTTAGCATAGAGCATCCTGAATCATCTCAAGAAATCCAGATGAGTGGGAGAAAAGATGAGGAACTTTGAATTTTTGTGAGGTATTGTGTAAAATTGATGGACTTCAAGCCCTGAGGAGTCTACAGCGAAAGAATCGTATTATGATTCTTAAACAAAAAAAAAAGGCTGCTGAATCCTATCGTACAAATCTCTAGCAGTGCAAATATTTTTATATAATCTATGGCAATCTCCTAAATAAAATTTAGGATGTCTAAATGTGCATTGCACCAGGTTAGTTTATATGTTTAATGGAGGTTCGTAGGTCTTAAGAGGCAAGTTTTGTCCAGATTAACTTTCCTGCTGCTGGAAAAAAAAAGTATTTAACTGCAAAGAGAGAAATAGGAAATAAAGTATTCTCGACTAAATAGTTTTTTGCATCATCAGCTCATTGTGAGCTCATCCACATTTGGCAGCTTTTACACTTGATTTTCTTCAGTTGTTTGTTGCTGTTCGGTAAATTATACAGCAGCGCACCTGTTTGATCAAATGATCAAACTATCCCCTCTTGAGATTGAAGCAACCAAACTAGAGACAATGCTAATAAACCGGGCAAATGGCTTATTTAAGTGTAGATTTGTCACCAAGAGAGTCCCAGTTTTCCATGTTAGGAAGTATCTTTCTGTTCTATAAGATCAACATTTCTGTAACAAACATACGATCAAATCTACAAGCTTTAATAGATAAAATTAAAGCTTTATAGATAGATAAATATAGATAAAAATGCAATACAGTGTATGTGTGTATATATATATATGAGAGAAATGAGATGGAAAGAAATGAATATGAATATTACCTCTTAATTTTATTTTTTTTGTTTTGACATCCCTAAAATTAAGAGTGAATGTTTATTTCTGCTCTCAATCCTCATGAATAATGCATCATTCCAGTGGATTTATTCTTATGGGCCCTACCTGAAGATGTAGCTGGCTGTTTGTACAACCCTAATTAGCAATTGTCTCTGACAAGCTGAGCTGAGTGAAGCACTCGTCCCGACTGATCACTCAGATCATTTTTCCCCGGCATCAGCACCCGAATGTTTGCCTCGTGCTCATCCCAAATCCCAAACAAACGATTACGGGCGCGCAACGTAAACAGAGGCCTCATGAATAATTCACCGGCGCACGTTCGCGCCGTTAGTCACACCGCGCGGGGCACTGATCAGCGATTATACGGTTCCCGTGGCAACGTGGGCTCAACGTGGCATCCGTAATGCCGTCGATGAGCGAGGAAATCAGTCGCTGAGCTGGCGGTGGCGTATCCGGCCTTGGCTGCCTCCTCCACGCACGTTTTCTCCTGTAAAACAACGTCTGTCTAATTGGCTCCATCCAAGATAGCTACTGGTGCCAACCGTATAGGGACTGTATGGGGACTGATCCAGTCAGTGAGTTCGTCCTCAATGGCCAGTGTCCTGCAGGCTTTAGATGTTTCCCCGCTTCAACTCAGCCGACTCCCATCAATTCGCCATTAGCAGTCCTCTGCTAATGGAGTCCGGCAATGTTTAAGGATATCCACTTCATCTAAAATCGGGTGTGTTGAAGCAGAGAAATGTCTAAAAACCTGTAGGACAGCAGCCCTCGAAGACCGGGGTTGAACACCCCTGCATATTTTCTTAGACTTTAAGCTTCGAGCGGCTCAGTTTGTGGAGGATTTTGGTCTTTAGCCAAAAAAACGTGGGGACTCGCAATGACACCAGCGTTGTTTTTGTATTCAGAAGACCAAACTGAAGGAGAACCTCTTCAGAAAGCAAATTTTTGTCCGCGCTACCGGTTTGTTACATCATCTTTTTCATATGTAAAATAGAATAAATAAATAATAATAATAATACTACGAAGGCGCATTACAATGTGCTCCCTCAAATCCTTCCCCTTGAGCCTCTGTTGCCTTTTTTTGGCATTTCTAATGAGAATCTAGACAGTAAACCTACTTTGGTAAGGTAGAGATATGGAGCCCTGCTACCAAATACTGGCCTTCAAAATTCTGCTCAAGGCCATCCAATTACAGAAAGGGAGTCTAAATATTGTACTGTGAGTATATCTGTGTAACTCCTCAAAAAAAATTATTTCTTATTTTCACTGTTAGATTTTTAACAATGGGGTCCAAAAATGTTGTCTCTCGTTCAAGGTTCAACTTTACAGACGTTTCTATCATAAGTAGGTGCGTGTTATACTGGGGCTTGTGCCGGTTTCTGGAGCGCTCCCTAAGGTGTTACGTTTACCAAGACCTGAGCTTAACGGCGTCATTAAGCCTTGATCATTGAAGCAATATGAGGTCCATATCAATATTGTTGTTTTCGCTCTGGTTTCCTGGATAGATCTGAAAGGGAAAGGTGTGGAGGATGCACCTCGCTCAAGACGTCTGACATTACAGTCCCTCCCCGTTGCAAAATTATGGTGAGCAGGTATTCAAGCTCCACTCGGAAGTCGGACAAGAGAAGAGGAAATTAGTCTCAAGTTGTCAAGGAAGCAATTTCCATCGCCGACGTGTTTGAATTAGACCCACATCACCTGCCGTAAATTCCGACCCAGACCTCCCGCCTCTGCACAGGCCCTCGGCCTTCATCATACGTGATGGAGATTATTTTTACAGCGCACAGCATGTCGGGCAATTTCCCTGTTTCATCATCAATCTCAAACGGCTAATGGGACGGCTGATCCTGATGGGCTGCGGGGGAAAAGAAATCATTATTGGTGCACGACAGGAGAAAGAAGAAGAAGAAGGAGAAAAAAAAAAACAAGGTCTCGACAAATCAAATTTAAGACTTTCTTGAGAATAATGCGAGTGTAATTCATACTGTCAAAAGTATGATGGATATAAAGAATTACAGGCCAGGAATCACTTGCAAAATAAAGACTGCCTGTTTGGGGGATAGATCACTCCAAGGCCAAACTTCCCGTCATGGGAATACCGTTCCAGCTGATTTTAGACTAGAGTTTGACACTTTCGTAGATTATTTTTAATACGTTTCGCCTTTTCTCTTAATTTATACCTGCCTTTTATTCCATTTGCCTGCTTTTATATGCTCCTGTCTTATGTTTCGTGCTTTAGTTTACGTTTACGTAGCTTCTTGTTCTGGGTTTACATTTCGAGTGCACTTAGCTCAGCTTTTGTGGTTGAGGTTTATAGCCTCTTTATGCAAACTCCACATTGGTGGTTTAAGACCAATTTAGCTTTTTAGCACTTGTGTCTCCAGGGCACTTGGCTGTGAATCTTGGTGGCACCCCTCAAAACACAACAAACTTGTGAAAAAAAACGATGGAGTTGTTTAGAGTTTGTAGGGAATCAAGAAGCCCTGCGCAGGCCCTCGTTCATAAGAACAAGAGGAACAATGAGAAAGAGGAAAGTCGCCTTTTGTGGATTCAGTCACTGCTGATGGGAGATAGAATAACGTCCCCAGAAGTAACCGACATCAGAGTGTGTGTCTGAAAAGCCGAACCCTCCAGCGCCCATAATGAGAAGCCACAGGCCACGGGACTAGTCATTAGTATTATCTCCCTGAGAGGGGGAAGGACGCAGCAGGCGGCGGGTCTCGGTTTCATATCCACAGCAGAGACGCCATCTCTCACTGTCTGCCTCCACCTCTGTCCTTGTGTTCCTCCACCCTTCTCTCACCTTCTGTCATCCCCAGCGAGCCTCCACAAAGGTGTTGCGGATATATTTAGCCAACAGCGGGGCCGAATTGACCGCAAAGGCAATAATTTAGCTGTCACGTTGTCAGGAACCAAAAATAAAAAACACTCCCGCCATTCTTTACTCTCCTCCATCGATGGTAGATGCTATTCGCTTTCTATTTATTCCCCTAATTTCTTTTAATTCTCCGAGCCCCGATGCAAATGCAATCGGTCACGCTGCGGTGGAGCCGGTTAAACAACACTGCCGTCGGAGACTCCTCGTTATTCGAAAAGCAGGAAGACGCGGAAGAGCGGCGAGAG